ATCACTAGGTGTTAAGGAAGCAATAACTGTCAAAACTTGTAATTGTCACTAGGTGTTAAGGAAGCAATAACTGTCAAACTTGTAATTGTCACTAGGTGTTAAGGAAGCAATAACTGTCAAAACTTGTAATTGTCACTAGGAGTTAAGGAAGCAATAACTGTCAAAACTTGTAATTGTCACTAGGTGTTAAGAAAGCAATAACTGTCAAACTTGTAATTGTCACTAGGAGTTAAGGAAGCAATAACTGTCAAAACTTGTAATTGTCACTAGGTGTTAAGGAAGCAATAACTGTCAAAACTTGTAATTGTCACTAGGAGTTAAGGAAGCAATAACTGTCAAAACTTGTAATTGTCACTAGGTGTTAAGGAAGCAATAACTGTCAAAACTTGTAATTGTCACTAGGAGTTAAGGAAGCAATAACTGTCAAAACTTGTAATTGTCACTAGGAGTTAAGGAAGCAATAACTGTCAAAACTTGTAATTGTCACTAGGTGTTAAGGAAGCAATAACTGTCAAAACTTGTAATTGTCAACCAATATTTTCAACCAATCTAACACCGGCCACGTGAGTACTGATAGCTGTATGTCGTTAAAATAGATTAGCACAAAGCTGATATTTCCTATTCCGGCAAGTTTTAATATATCTTTATTTAAAGAAATATGTAAAAACTTGGCGATTGATGAACCTATTATGTAACTTCCATTTACAAACTTTGCTCAATTGACTACCATTGAAAATACTTAAATAATTTTACAATCAGTTTTATAAAAAGAACATTAAACAGTTAACAATAATGATAAGCTCTTGTGTTTCAACTTTTTCTTTCTAGGCTCTACTTTTATTTAAAGTTTTAACACAATTATCTGTTCCTGGATATTGTACTTAAGAAACATACTCATGACCGACTTTTGGGTGCCTCCTCTACAAGTTTATTTATTTTTCTCTGTAGTATGACACACCAGCGCAGTGCTAATGAAACTAAATTTCAACCCTAACTGTTTCGTACAGGGTTGAATACGTTATAACCACAAAGTTTACCAGGGCATATTATGCGTAATATATATATTTGTTGGCTTTTTTTTCTTTCAATATTTTACTTTGATTTAAAGTTTTAATACGATTGTGTGTTCATGGATGTGATATAAATTAGCCGATTAATGGTGGACAAATATTGATAAATCCTTTTTGTATGACTCATTGTGTATTTAAAGTATAATATTACAGTGTGATTATGATATACAACAAAACAATGTTGTCATAAGCAACAAATATGCTATTGTAAATCGTGGAAATGGCAATAATTGGAGTAAGAATATTGTAAATAAAAGTGATTGAACTGTGGAAATATAGGGTTGAGTACGTTATGTTAAAACGATTTTGCACATACAAGCATGTACACTCGTATAGAAAGTCGCAGTGGATCGGCATGTAATGGAACTCGTTTTTTGCTAACCAATGGGCTATCTTTGCTCTGCTCACCGCGGATACAGAAACCGAATTTTATCATTATATGCCCTCAGAATTGCCACTGAGCAACCGGGAAGTGTATCGGAAAGAGATTTTGATATTAACGTTCGTAGGTATGTGACGACACCTAAAATTGATTGCTTTGGGGAAGGGTTTGTAAAGCCTTTCCTACACAAAATATGCATAAACTCTGATGATAAAGATATAGTCAGATTGGGGATTTCGAATGACATACTTAATGGCATTGAGAAACTAAGGAATATTGATCAACTTGGTGTACCAAGACCATCCAAAAAAAAAAAAAAAGAGACCTGCAAGAAATCGTATCGCAACTGTGATAAGCCAAGTTTTTCGTCTTGTAACAGGTGGGAATCAATGAAGGCCAGTGGCAACAGCTATCTACGCTCTAGGTAACAGTACACAACACAACCAAGCAGGATCACCCTCTGGAAATTAATACATGTGCACACAAATTGTTTCAATGACATATCAATTCAACAATAATATGCGTCAGGTTGTTGGCAAATGAAACAGGTGTTCATGCTATTCTATACGATATATCAGTCAAATCGCCGAAAACCATCGTCCTCATATACTATATGGATTATGGAAAGCTGCAGGGAGGAGAAATGTGCTTTAAACACGACAGCCTTACATCGGAGCCTTTTACAATGAAAACTATGTTGCAGGGCTATTGTCAAGATGCACGGTTGTCAGAAAGAGCACGATCAGACGTGGTGAGGCTCCAACATCGTTTTAATATAACGTACTGAACCTCTGTTGTTGTGGTTTTCTTAGTACATGGCTACACAATGGGCTATTGGCGTTCTGTCCACCACAGGGAATCAACATTTGGATTTTAAGTTCGTAAACTTATTACCCACCCACCAGGGGAACTGCACTTCATAAAAAAAAAAGAGATAATGGCTTTGTTGAAACGATCAAATTATACAAAACAACATATGTTCGGAATAAAATAAAATGGTTTCACAAACTTTAAAAAACATGTTTAAAATATTGTACACTACTAAACTTAGCTAACGTTTCTACAGTTCCAACTTGCTTGTTCGTGCTTACTTTAGAATTTAATCAAATTGCTAACATTTACAGAAGTTTTTATGTCGAGTGTACATCGTCTTTTGGAGGGACAGCGGTAAATCGATACTTAAAATTCGGGGTTCTATTCCCCGCGGTGGAAACATCAGATAGCCAAATGTGGCTTTGCTATAAAAAGACAAACAAACAAACGAGTGTATGTCTGTCAGTGAAGTGTCGTGTTCGAGTTATATATGGATATGGCTGAATTGATGTGTCACGTGCTAATCAGAAAGCATTAACATCAAGGATTAGATTTCTTGAAGACGGTGCGCTGAGTTCAAAGAGGTTTTTTGGGGGGTGGGGAGATTTCTATCCATTTGCAGGCTGTCCACGAAACATTATATTTAGTGTTTTCTCCTAAAACAAACCCACCCTTCAATGCTCCTCAGTAAATATTACGTTTCTTGAAACATAGATTACCTACATCTGTCAACCCTTTAAACCCAGAAACAGTGGTTATAATACACGGAAGGTAAGTAGAGCAGTCTTAACTTTGCGGTTATGAAAACTTGAAGGAAAAATTAAGATGGTCTATGTCGCTTAAATGTCTGGGGATAGTGTCTGTGTTCCAACCAAATTTCATTTCGTTCTTGTTGTATTAAGCACAAAGCTACACAAAGGGCTATCTGTGCTCTGCTCACCACGGGTATCGAAACCCGGTTTCTAGTGTTATAAGTCCGCAGACATACATACCATTGTGCCACTGGGGGGATTTTCAGCTCGTGGTTAAGGTTTGTAATGACACACTTAATATTAGCCCCACCTTTTAGAGACGAAACCGCAGTTGTTATACCAACATTATTTTTTGACACTATACGAAACGAACCAATTATATTCTGCTTTAGTGTGAGTTTGACTGTAAGTTTTATGTCTTCTAACGTTTTCGAAAGTGTTCGTTTTTAAGGCAATAAAACTTCAGTGTAAAAGAAATGATATAGACAGAAGAGTAACACATTTTAAAACTGTGACAAAGAAACCCACTACTGTTTTAAAGCAGAAATAACATAAAATTGTATTAAAATTCGTTAATGTTTAATATTACATCACATATTACTACTAACGGATCAAATAACTCGATTTTTTGAAATGCAATATTTGTTTGAGTTTTACAAATAAAAATGTAGTATTTCAATAATTTGACAACATTAGACTTAGAGAAACAGAAAGTGCTTTCGGTTAAAAGTTATTTTATACAGAAATAAAAGGAAGTACCACAATTATTATATTTTATTATCAATATGAAATTAGGCCTATGTGCGCGCTGATTGGCTGGATTTGTTATCATTACAACAAGCAAGATAACTTATAATTATATGGTCTTAGACGAGATTTGATTTTTTTTATATATACCGTTCAATGTTGTTTTTTCATCTATGCGATACTGAAGTTTAAGTACTTTTAATAATTACACACTGAAGAAATACAAGTAGTACTTACTTGGGTGGATACATCGTCAGGATAGGCCTGCTGCTCGGACGATGAATTCATATTCGGTAATTATAAAAAAAGAAACAAAGAACAGTAAGTTTTGGGACAAACTTAGAATAATGACTTAATCAGAAAGAATGTTGACATCATTCCAAGCAAGTTGTAGTACGGTTTACACTTTACAGTCACCATGTAAAACATAGTACTCAGTAGTAGTTGTAGCACTAATGGCCTTGCCTTGTCTACAAGTGAATTTTACGTATTTTGAATGCGCGTGATGGCCAGAGTGAAAATATCAAATTATTCAACTAAATGTTACAATAGACAAGCTTTTCCTACTGTTACTTATCATCTGCTAATATAATCATGATAATAAAATGAGCAGTCTTGTTGTAGAGTTGACACTAATGATACCGATCTCCAACACAACATAAAACCGACCAGAAATTCGGCCCATAAGTACTTGGGAGCTTCGTGTTTTCCTTGTACGAAAAGGTTCAGCAGTTATGTATATCACGGACGTATAAGTATTGTGGACAATACCACTGGTTTTGAAGTTGGTCTTGATCATATGCCAGGACATTGAATAAATATCAGGTATCTGTCTGCTGCTATGATTATCAGAGTACATTTTAACAGTGACTCTGTTGTACCTGTTTGCTGCTATGATTATCAGAGTACATTTTAACAGTGACTCTGTTGTACCTGTTTGCTGCTATGATTATCAGAGTACATTTTAACA